AGCCTCCCAAAGGCGCAGGATTACAGGCTGAGCCGCCGAGCCTGGCTGAGAGTACTCTTTCAAAGACTTCAGGATGCAAGAGAGAAGTGGGACAATAACTTAAAGTGCGCAGTCAGGGCTGGGTGCGGTGGCTCAGCCAGTCATCCCAGCACTTTGGGAGGCCGAGGTGAGAGGATTGCCTGAGCCCTCGGGTTTGAGACCATCCCGGGCAACTTGGCGAGACCTCGTCTCTACAGTAAATCACAAAAACTAGCCAGGCGTGGTGGCAGTTTTTGCAGTTCCAACTACCTGGAAGACTGAAGCGGAAGGATCTCCTAAGCCCAGCAGGTCGAGGCTGCGGTGACTGGAGGCGTCCCACTTCACTCCAGCCTGAGTGACAGAGTGAGACTCCAACTCAAAAAAAAAAGTGTTCAGTTGAGAAGGGAGATTTTATTACATGGCAGAGGCAAGGAAATAGGTGGAAATAGGTGAGGAGAAGGAAAAATGACAGATGTCAGCCACACCACATGGCATGGTGACTAGTAAGCCCAAGCAGTAGAGTCTGAGGATGCTAAAGCCCAGGCAGGCTCTTGGGAGACAGAACAGGTCAATACCTCTCTCAACCTGCTGATTGTACTCCCCGCTCTGACCCTTGCCCGTCACCACCCTTTGTACAAGGAAGCCTGGTCACGTGAGACAACCGCAGGTTCTTCCACCGGATGACTTTTTTACTGCCTCTTCTTTATTTGACTTGGGGTTCTGGAGTGAGGCTATCTTTTGCCTTCATTTATTCTTCCGAACCATAGGGAGACTCACCCTTGAGTATGAATCACAGATAGAGCTTTTAGTAATACAGCACTGTCCTTGGGAAAGCAAGGGATTCTGGGATTGGAGCCCCAGACTTGTATAGGAAGCAGGGACTATGTGTCCAGAGTTCTTTGAGGGCATCCCAAGACATACATTTGACTTAAAATTATCTAGGGTGTGAATGAGCGTAAAAAACAGAGACCAAAAGTATTCCCCACCACCCAAACCACACCACAGGTGCCCTAGCTGACATAATACCAGCTACATTTGTTCCATGGTAAGGGGCTTTCTCTCTGGCACATAGAGAGGAATGTTAGGACCCAGAAGGAACCCAGCATTGACTATATTCTGAGTAGTAATGTGTGTTGCATGGGCAAATGAGCAGATGTCAGGGTTAGAGTAATTACTGTAAAAAAAAAAAAAAAGCAGGATTTTGAAGAAAGTCTGGACCTCTTTTTTCTGCACCCCTGACTTTCTTTTCTCTTTCTTCCCAATACCCCACAATTAAATATATTTCTTCATGAGTCTTTGCTCTGTTTTTTTCTTTTTTCTTTTTTGAGTTGGAGTCTCACTCCATTGCCCAGGCTAGAGTGCAGTGGCATGCTCATAGCCACCCCAGCATCGACCTGCTGGGCTCCGTCAATCCTTCCGTCTCAGCCTTCCAAGTAGCCGGAACTATAGGCGTGCGCTAACAAGCCCAGCTAATTTTTTAATTTTATTGTACAGATGAGGTCTTGCTAAGTTGTCTGGGCTGGTCTCAAGCCTGTGGGCTCAGGCAATCCATTCACCTTGGCCTCCCAAAGTGCTGGGATGACAGGCTGAGCCACCGAGCCCGGCCTGCCCTATGTTTTTCCATATTTCATTATGTGGTTAGTATCAATGACCACAGTCTGCAGAGGAGGAAGCATGCCTATGAATAGGCCTGAGCCATCCAACTAGTAAACGGTAGAAGCAGGGCTTGCACTGGTCCATGCCTCCAAGTCAGATGCTGTCTGCCCTACGAGCTCTTTAGCTTCCCCTTTCGAAGTGGAACTCGACTGCCCGTTGGGCTAGGGCTGTATGATGACATCTTCAGAACTTCAACGTTCAGGAACTTTACATAAGACTCTGGTAGATGCAGCAAGTCATTCTGAGCCTTCTGGCCTGCCTCACTAGAGAGGATCAAATTAGCTGCCACTCTTCTGAACCCGGGTCCCCATGCTCTTTCCTTGAAAGACAGAGCTATTCGTTTCAAACATAATCATTCTGCAAACAAGACACCTGCATGTACATGTTTACTGCCGTGCTATTTATAAGAGCAAAAACGTGGAATCCACCCAACTGCCCATCAAAAGTGGACTGCGTGAGAAAATTTGGTACATATACATGATGGACTATTATGCAGCCATAAAGAAGAACAAAATCACGGACTTTGCAGTAAATTGGATGGAACTGAAGACCACCATGCTAAATGATCTATCACAGAAACAAAGAACTGAACATCACATGCTCTCACTCATAAGTGGGCCCTGAACAGTAATCACATTAACACAAGGAAGGAATCGGCAGTCACTGGGCACTGCTAGCCACGTATCAACACAAAGTGTACTGGTCTTTTACCAGGGGGAGTGAAGGCCATTAGAAGCCCAAACTTGGCCGGGCTCGGTGGTTCAGCCTGTCATCCCAGCCCTTTGGGAGGCCGAGGCAAGTGGATTGCCTGAGCCCGTGGGTTCGAGACCAACCAGGGCCACTTGGGGAAACCTCCTTTCTATAATATATCAAAAATTAGCCTGGCGTGGTAACGTGTGCCTGTAGTTCTGGCTACTTGGAAGGCTGAGATGGAAGGATTGTTGGAGTCCAGCAGGTCCACGATGGGGTAGCCGTGAGCATGCCACTGTGCTCCAGCCTGGGCGACGGAGTAAGACTTCAACTCAGAAAAAAGAAAAAAATAAAAAATAGATAACTGTTCTAGCCACTGCAGTCCAAGAAGGAAGAAAAGGTGGATAGTTAATGCCAAACCACTGTAACTACCGTATACGGAGAGAAAAAAAAAAGCTTTGAATACTCATAATAAATATTCCAAAGATTTTCAGTTGGTTCTGACTTAATATGAATTTAATACATTAAAAAAAATCTTGTCTCTGAAGATTATGGGCATATTCACATTTTCCAAGAATCCTTCTAACCATCCAAAGGGTGATTTCATTCCACGAGTATCTCCATTGTGAAGCTTAGAGGGTTTCTCATCATATATATATTTTTTTCCTAAAAAGCACAATTCATTCTTTTTATTTTTAAATTATAAAAATAATACATTTAAAGTCTGAAAAGTAGTCAAAATAGACGCCTATAATTCTCCATCACTATCATAACAACAACACTCTTTTCCTGTGCATATCTATCTTTGTGAATCTAAAGTTTATAGAATTGAGTTTTGTTTTTCATCTAACATCACATTATAATCATTTCCCATGGTGATGCATAATATAACCACAATTTTTAAAGGCTGCATAATATTTCACTAATACACACCTCATAATTTCCTTAGCCATTCTCTTGATTGAACATTTAGCTTGTTTCCAAATACTCACTACTATAAATAATGCTTTGAAGAAGAGCTTCATGCCTATTCAGGTTTTTGTGTCACCCTCCCAGAAGTGGGACAACGAGTTCTTCGGTGCTGGTTAAAAGGCATCCATTTAAAAATGACTGTCTACAGCTTCTGATCAACATTTCTGAAAAATCATCTTGGCAAAAGTAGAGGCGTTTTGCTCTAGTCATCACTAAACACAGAACCTGTTTCTACCTATCACATCCTTAGCATTCATCTTGCAAGCTACTATCTGTGGCTACCAAAAATGGGGAAATGGTGCTCTTGACCCTGATGCCTCCATTGACCTCTACTGATGTTCATATTACTGGGGGATCTCAAATCCCCAAGAGCTGCCTGGGATGCTGCGCCCCAAACCCCGGGAGGGCAGAGAGCAGGTACAGCATCTTCAGGGTCTACCCCACCCTTTGATATCTCAAAGTCCAGCCTTTCCCCCAAAAGCCTTGTCCAGATAAGGCAAGGAGGCCCTGGTGCCTGGAAGTTAATCAACGTGGGTTGTCTGAAGCCCCGAACATGCACATTTAGAAGGAGACCTCCATAGCTGACAGATCCCTCCGCTACTTTTTGGTTTTGCCCCCTTTCTCCAGATGGAGCAAGACAATATTAAGTTAAAAATACAACTTATCAAAAAGCTAGCTGAGGATGACTTTAAGAACTAGGAGACCGGTCTTAAAAGACAAGCAGAAGCAAGGCTGTAAGATTTTACTCTCAGCCACTCTGCACTCCAACTGTGAGACCAAACCTTTAAAAGACCTTCCGGGCACATCAAAACTCTCCAAAATTACTGGAGATGCCTACTCAGAAGGGTTCTATTCTAGTTATTATATAACCGTCTCAGTCAATACAGGGCAGGGTGGATTTTGGCTCTTTGTAGGAAAAAGAGGAGAAAAGAATTTAGCAATGCATTGTGTTTTCGGTAAGAGAAGCAATTTCGAATAAACGAGGGTCTTCCTCAACAAAGCAACCTAGAGCAGGAGCCTGAGTTTTAACTTCAGGCCTCGGGAATACCAAATCTTGCTGAGCTCAAGCGTTTGCAAACCCACCAGCCGGGGGGGGGGCGGATTTTCCCAGAGCTGCCGTCAGGGATCTCCTCCAGCTCTGGCATAACCCCCCTGCGGCCTGGCAGACCCTCCCCAGTGACCTCCCTCCCTGCCCCTCGAGGACCAGCACTACCCTCAAGGCAGCACAACTTCCCGGGACACCCCAACGTCTCCTCCCGCCCCCCTCCGGTGGCTTGGAAATTTACACGGGAGGGTGACGTCACACAGGGAGGCGGGCCCCCACGGCCCCGCACACCAATGGCGCGGGCGCGGCCAGCCTCTTCTTTCCCAGCGATTGGTGTCTCGGGCCGCTCCGCTCC